GGGGGGTGTTTTGTCCGGGAGTATACGGTATCTGAACTAAGGGTACATTCCTGTGGGGACACTTGTGTCTCAATCCCCGTTTTCCCGAGTCGCGCCTGTAAATTTGCCAAATGTTGTGTCACAAACAACCAATGTATCGCGACCCTGCGCGACAGTGGGCACAGCCAGGTGGTGCGTACTATTGGTTGCGGCCAATAGGATTGTGCCCACCCAGTTTTCCCCGCCGTGCAGGGGGGCTAAACATATCGCATGTATACAACCACGGCTCAAGTACAAAACGCAAGCATCACAGAGCTAAACTGCACCACTGTCTAGCAACCATGGCATCGCCCCGCGAGGTGCCATTCCTCATGCGCCTACTTGTCGCTAATGGGTTCGTTCTACTACAGCATATTCATGGACGCCATCGCCAAGTCGGTCGGTGGCTTGCTGGAGGCGAACGTCTCAATGACGAGGTGTCCTCGTCATCCAGCTCTCGCGCCTCCAACCGTACCGCAGAGCGGGAAACGAGGGCTGGGCTACGCCGGCGGAGATACCAGTTGCTGCTAGAGGACCGGACGGCATGGGAGGATCAGTTCAGAGATATGTTTCGCATAAACCGTGGCATTCTCGAATACATTGTCGCCGGGATGACGCACTACATGCAACCGTACGTGGACAGGTACCTAATCAGTCATGAAGTGGCATGCCTTGTACCTATCAAATACCTCGCAAGTGGCATGTCTTTCGTAGACTTGTCCTCCGTGTTCGGGCTGTCCAAGACCCTGTGCCACATGCTTGTTGACGCGCTCCTCATGCATTTCCCGTCCGTCTTCAAGCAGCAGTGGGTCCACTTCCCGACCCGCGACGACCTCGACGAGATGGCCGCAGAGTTCCGCGCCATCAAGGGGGTACCTGCGGTAGTGGGGGCTATAGACGGCACACACATACCCATGAAGGGGATGGAGGGGCACAGGCAAGAGTACTACACGCGGAAGTCCTGTTACGCCGTCCAGTTGCAGATCACATGCGACGCGCGAGGCATCATATGGGACTATTTGATCGGATACCCGGGCAGTGCGCACGATCAGAGAGTGTTCATGAACAGCGCGTTACACGAAAGGTTGTACAACGGCGACATAGCGCCATACCAAATAGTGGGAGATGCTGCCTACCCACTCAGAGACTTCTGCCTGACCCCCCTACATGCTCCCCGTGAAGGCCTAATGGAGGACTGGGAGCAGTGCTTTAACTATTGCCAAAGCGCAACGCGCATGGCAGTAGAGCGCTGCATCGGCGCCTTCAAAGGCCGGGTGGCGTCTATTCGCGGGCCGCAATGACTGCAAGCTCTGGCGCATTCTTGCAGGGGCGTCTTGTGGCGTCATCCTGCACAACATGTGCGAAATGATGGGCGCAGTAAGGCGCGTCAATGCATCGTGGGCAAACTTGCCCCGAAACCGGGACCCCATGGTGGACTCGTGGCGCGGTTAGCAGAGTTCATGTGGGAGCCATGTGACCCATGCACGCAAGAGAATCTTCGTGAAAGGCGCAAGCGGCTGGGCGAGGCTCTGGAGTCGTCTTACCTCACTCGGCGGCGCCGCGGACCCACACCTCCTCACCCGCATCTGGGTTAGAGGGGTCTTCGCCCGCCTGCCCCGCGACGAAGCCAGCCGTCGTCGCCGCCTTCGGCGGCGTGCGAGTCGGTCATGTTGTCCGCGTGGGCAGGGATGTCGTCGCGGACATGCGGGGAGGGTGCGGGCTGCTGCACGCGTTCCCGAGCAATACGCGCGTCCTGATCCATCCACGCGCGGACGAGGCCTTCGAGCCTGCTCATGGCGTCTGAGTGGCAGCCTTTGATCGTCTCGCACACCAGCTTTGCAGCGGCCATCGTCGCCGTCTCTGCCACACGTGGGCGCTTCGATGTAGGAGTTCCCTGTGGCGGCGGAGCTGCACACACGGTGGATGCACACGAACAGTAGACGAGGTGTTATGTACCCTAAACATTTTAATGATGTAATGTGTGCGTAAAATGTTGTCACAAAATGTGTCATTCAACAAACCCGCGAGTGCCACCGTTGATGCAACACATACATACCAGTGAATGTCGGCGTAGAGGTGCAGGGCGCCGAAGTGGACGGGACCGCGTACCCGCACGGCACGTTGACGTGTGCCGCACCGCCACCGTCGACGGCGTCAGGGTTGCCCACCGCCTTGTTGTTCTGGAAAAGCGCCATGTACGGGTACCAGTGGGGCTTGCACACGGCACCCTTGCCGCTCGCCTTTTCCCCCTTCTTGATCTGCTTGTACATGTTCACAAGATTGCGCCACTGCTTCTGAAGCGCGTTTACACCGCGCACACCAACCGGGATTCTCCTTCTCGAGGTGACGCGCGAGGCGGGCCAAGTACTGAGAGCCCTGCTTCCCGAGGAGGGGCCCGAGCTCGTCCTTCATGAACCAACGCGCAGCCACGAAGATTGTGTTCTCACGGGGGGACCACACGCTCCGCTTAACAGGATGCAAGTTACGGGTCTTGGCAGCGGCACGCGGAGGTTCCCCGCCCTTAGCAGCAGTCTTGGTTCCCGCAGCGGCAGACGCACGGCCGCGACGAGGAGCCGGGGACGCAGGCTGGGCCTCTTCGGGAGCATCCTCGTCGTCATCGGCGTCCTCGTCGGCGTCAACTTCATCCTCGGAGGGGGACATGCCCTTGTCCTGCTCCTCGCCAGAGTCCGCGTCATCTTCGCAGGCCTCGTCGCACTCGTTGTAATCAGAGTCCGCGGCGTCATCATCGTCATCGAAGGCAGCATCGTCGTTGACGCGGGATGAGGCAACCCGGTCGGCATGACGGCGTCCGCGGGTAGGGACATCGCGCGGGGCTTCGAACGAGGTGTCCCCCGCACCAGGCGCTCCTTCGGGCAAAGGGCCGGCGGGCTTGCGGCCGGCCGCGATTTGTTTGTTCGTCCAAGCGATGTACGGGATCTGGTCGAGATCCCGCGGGCACAAGTCAACAGAACTAGCTACGCTCTTGCGCTTACGGGCCATGGCTACAGCGTGCCAAAGAAGACCCTGGCTAGACTTCGCAACAAGAAAGAGGAAGCTCGGGTTGGGAGAAGAAGAACAGATTGGAGCGGGAGCGTGCTGACAGTGTGGTTGGAACGATGGGCAAACATTCGGGCAGGGATGTGACCGTGTGTGCTGAAGGACCAGTCATATGTCAGCCCGGGCAGAGCGGTTTCCATCCCCGCGCGGAAACGTGCCCAGTTCGGGCGTCCAGGTGCATGCTGTACAGTGTGAGATTTCGACACGCGTGCGATTTTCGGGATGTGACGGGGCCTCGTGTAACTCGTCCGCGACACAAGCGCAATTCACGCCAACCAATGTAAAATACAGTGGGACTCGCATAAGCGCGATCCGCTTTTGTGACAGGGCACGGTATATGCTGTTTTTAGATGTCACAAAGTGATTGAGACACGGTATATCCTGTGGAGACACTTGTGTCTCAATCCTTTTGTGACGCGTAAAACCAGCTTATAACGTACAATGTCACAAACGCGTGTCGCCCTTGTGCGACTTTTAATGTATTTTTCATTTGTCAGCGTGAAACGCCCTGATGTCGCGGACTAGTTGCGTATCGACCCGTCATTGTAAACAAACTCTGTACGCGGTTCGAAATGTCAATGCACTTGGACATTCCACAGTAAAAATCTCGCGCGGGAAAAAGTTCCGCTCGTCAAAACCCCACCCGAACCAGACAGTTGAAGAAACAGGTGTTCAGTCAAGTTTGAAATCCAATCAAATGAGCACAGCTGTAAATTTCGCCTGGTCGCACAGTTTCGTGATACACTCATTTTTTGTGACGCGAGATTGCAAAAATGTGTAGACGCGACTCGGAAAAAAGGGGATTGAGACACAAGTGTCTCCACAGGAACGTACCCTAAGGGCAGCAGGTGCATACCTACTAGTGCTGCTTTAGCTTATAGGGTAGGATCACTTGATCCGACCCTTTCTTTGCACTATATATAGGTGTGCAAACAATCCTTACACATCACTTTTGGGGCATTATATTAAAGTACCCCCGCACGCCTTGCGTCGCACTGGTCTAGTAATCGACTGAACTGGCAAATCTCTGGCTGATGGTGCAATCAGCATTGAGTACAAACATGCCCTTGAAAGTCGTGTGTCTCAGTTTTCCTACCGTATGTAAACATGAAAAAATTCTAAGCGTTTATCGCTTCCAAATTTGCGTATTGTGAAAGCGAAGCTGACTGTAACGCAATTTCGCGCATCGTCAAAGCGCGGTAGTCGCCTTCTCTGAATACATAATGTGGGCTGGGCTGGGGTCATTCTTCCCCCACCCACGTCTCTCATTTTTACAATCACTCAAGTTCAATTCCCACCCACCCTCCCCATGCTAGTCATCTTCAGAGAGTACCGTATGGCCCCGGATATAAGCGCAGGCCTATTAAAAGCGCATGCGCTTGTATCTGGAGCAATGCGCTTATGGCCGATCCTCAATTATAAGCGCACCCCTTATAAAGCCCTGATATATTATAAGCGCATGTGTAATTTTATTTATAATTCTTCATTAAAACGGTAACGAATCTCAGTTTTGCAGCGAGGCCACAACCCATTTTCGCTTACATTGACTTTCGAAGACCTCTCACATCCTGCGCGTCCAGTCAGCACGAGCTGGCACGCCCTCAAAGTGAGGTGTTACACTGTATTTTGTCTCTGGGCGCTCGCGAAGAATCGCCCGCGCGCGATTTTGACATGTGACTTTCTACAATTTCGATTCGATTGAAATCTGAAGGATGAGATGTACAATTTGGTGCATTGAAATATATATTTGTATTTGTTATATTATAAGCGCATGCGCTTATAATTTTTACTCAATTATAAGCGCACCCCCCAAAAAAACACTGTTTTATTATAAGCGCAGGTGCGCTTATATCCGGGGTAATACGGTATCTTGATATGTGTGAGAAGAAACGAGGAATGGATTGACTAAGGGAAAGTTGGGTACAAATGCAAACCCTAGAAAACTGTACCCCATATGTGCTACCCCACTATAGCCTACAGTAGCTATGTCATATAAATCTGACACACCCCCATAGGCAAAGTGGGGGAGAACAAGGGGTCACAAGACCAGTCAAGCAAAGCAAAGCAAGCTCAGGGTGGATCACAAAGTCACCACACATTCCGAGCACAAGTTCAAGGCCACAAGGCCAGTTCACATGCAGGATTACATATATATATAAGGCTAGACAAGCAAGAGCAGGAGTATATATATATGCATCAGTACAAACAAGGTCAAGGGGTGAGCAAGTGAGGCAAGGTGGGCACAAGACCCAGCTGAGTACAGAAGCGCTGATGATCACAAGGCGCAAGTGCCTTGGTGAAGATATCAGCAGTGTTGGCCTGAGAGGCCACGTACGCAAGCCGCAGCTGACCACGCTGCTGTAGCTCACGAGCAAGGAAGTAGCGGAGAGCAATGTGCTTCGTTCTGTGCTCCAGTCTCTGCTCTCGACACAAGGCCAGCATGGCCTTGTTGTCTATGTACAGCACTGGAGGAGAACGAGGCGGCTCTCCGAGGTCAGTCAGCAGGTAGGTGAGCCAGCGAAGCTCCTGTGCAGCCATGGCCCCGGCGTAGATCTCAGCCTCACAACTGGAGCCGAGAACAGAAGACGAGCGGGTAGCCCGCCACGAAACAGAGCCGGAACCAAGGATGAAGGTGTAACCCTGTGACGACCGCTGCGTAGCCTGGTCGTCAGCCCAAGAAGCGTCTGCGTGCCCAGTGAGGACCACTGGACTCTGCCCTCCAAGCACAAGCCCCATGCCCGACGTACTGCACAAGTAACGCAACACCCTCTTCGCTGCAGCCATGTGCTCCGGTCTGTGTCTCCCAGGAGCAACATAGCGTGCGAGAATGCTAAGAGGGTATGCGAGGTCAGGTCGTGTGCAGGTCATCAGGTACATGAGGCAGCCAACAAGCTCTGGGTACGGGCCACTCTACTCTACGGACTCATCCGAAGGCAGAGCTGAGAGCGAGTGGCGAGTAGGCAGAGGAGTGGCCTGAGGCGAGGAGTACGTGAAGCCGAAGCGCTGAAGGACCTGCTGCACCATGTGTGACTGAGTCAGGGTAATGGTGCGGCGTGCTCTGTCCCGGGTGATCTGCAAGCCAAGGTAGCTGCGCAGTTCACCCAGGTCTGTGCACGTGTGTCTCTTCTGCAGCTCGGACTTCACGTGGGCGAGTCCAGCAGTGTCAGCTGTGGCAAAGACCAAGTCGTCGACGTACACGAGGATGTAGAACGGCGGCAAAGAAGTGTCGGTGCGCAGAAACAGCGACGGGTCGGCAGTAGAGGGAGCAAACCCAAGAGCCGCAAGTGTAGTCCTCAGTGTGTCGTGCCACTCACGCGGTGCCTGGCGGAGACCGTAGACTGGCCGCCGGAGGCTCCACTGGGTGCCAGGAGGAAAAGACCCAGTGAAGCCAGGTGGGCGACGCAGCCAGATCTCCTCGTGCAGGCTGCCCTGCAAGAAAGCAGTGCTGAAGTCAAGAGAGTGCAGCTCGTAGTCGCGGTGAGCAGCTATGTGCAGCAGTACCCGAAGAGTGGTCATCTTCGGGGTGGGAGAGAAGGTCTGAAAGTAGTCAACTCCCTGCCGCTGACTGAAGCCACGGGCCACGTAACGCGCCTTGAAGACAGGCGGAGAACCCGGCGGTCGCTTCACCCTGAAAATCCACATGCCACTGACGATGTTCGCCCCAGGCGGGGGAACCTCGTCAACGTAGGTGCCTGTGGACTTCCAGGAAGCCATCTCTGTGTCCATAGCTGCCTGCCACTGAGAGGAGTAGGGACCCTCTATCGCCTCCGCGTAAGAGCGCGGAGTCGGGATGTCAAGTGCATCCGGGTCTCCCTCAGGGGTAAGCAGTACGGACACGAGATGAGGTGAAGCAGCAGCCAAACACTGGAACTCCTCCTGCCTGTCCTCAAGGACGTCCGTGCCAAGGGCACACTCACCCCCGACGGACGGAGGACAGACAGACTCAGACTCAACGACAAGACTAGCAGCGTAGTCTAGACGACAGCGAGCAGCAAAGTCGACGAGCTCAGCAACTAGGGCAGACGCAGCAGTGGACTCAAAGGAAGGGTCAGTGACGACAGTAGCAAGGAGACGCGTGACAGTAGGACTGGCAGCACGAAGAGAGTCCGACTCCGGGTCGGGAAGAGCAGGAAGAGAGGACTCAGGAGGAGAAGGCAAAGGGGCACGCAGAGGAGCAGTGGACGGACGCAGAGACATCCGGTGCGTGCCAGGGACAGGAGGAGGACGCTGACGCGAACCACGACCACTAGTGCGAGCAAGACGGACAGGCGACGCAGGGCGAGACGCAGGCTCACGACGCTCAGCCAGACCTCCAGTAGGACCAGTGTAGGGAGAAGGAGCGGGCAGTGGGGAGGCCGGCTGTAACTGTAACTGTGACGGGACAGGCTGTGGACACTCTAAGGGAGGAGGAGGACCAGTAGAAGGCGGGAGACCAAGAACCTGCTGAAGGAGCGGAACGAAGTACGGCCGTGGCCGCGCGGCGACTCCAGACACAGCAGGGACAGCACCAGTACCCCCAGCGGCAGCACCAGCGTCAGCAGCACCTCCAGCTCCAGTACCTCCAGCAGCACCAGTAGTACCCCCAGCAGAACCGCCTCCAGGACCGACAGCAGTAGCCTCAGCGCCAACACCCGCAGCAGCTCCAGCTCCAGTCGTACCCGCAGGCCCAGCAGCTCCAGTACTCCCAGTACGAGCACCTCCGGGACCCGCGGCACCAGCACCCTCAGCAGCCGAAGAACCTCCAGCTCCAGCAGCACGCCTCCAGCGCCGGGCAAACCACTCTCGCAACTCCTGTGGAGAGAGTGGCTCCCGCCGAGACGAGGCACCCGGAGAACCTCCAGGCTCAGCACCGCCAGACGCCACACGAGCAAGCCCAGCTCCCTCAGGCTCCGTACCCCCACGCTCAGCACCTCCAGGCGTAGCACCCCCAGGCTCAGCACCCC